CTCGAGCGGCCGCGGCTGGCGCGGGTCGCCGGCAGCGACGCCCTTCCGCTGCCAGTGGGCGAGCACGACGCCGTGCCGACCGCGCTAGTCACGGGAGGGCTAAAGGGGCTCGGCCTTCGGGTGTGGGGCAGCGGCCGCGTTCCTCGGGAAGCATGCTGGATCTAATCAGGATGAAGACTGGTGATGAACCACAGGTGGGGCAGTGGCTACTCTCGTCGGGGCGCGCGCGGCGGGTGGTCCTGGTCGGTCGTTCGGGCGGCCGCGAACTGAGAGGAGCCGGGGGCGAGGGGGGCGAGGGGGGGGAGGGGTGGGAGAGGGAGGGGTGGGAGAGCATCTCTCACGCCGAGGCCGACGCGACACGCCGTGACGCTGCTTCATCGCGCGCGAGCGGCGAGGCTGCCAGTGGGGATGGCGCTGTGGGAAGCCGCGGCGCTGCTGGCGGCGGCGGCGGCGGCGGTGGCGGTGGCGGCAGCAGCGGTGGTGGCGGTGCCGGCGGCGTTGGCGGCGGCGGCGGCGGCGGCGGTGGCGGTGGCGGTAGCAGCGGTGGTGGCGGCGGCGGCGGGAAGGAGACGGACGCCGCGTTGCTTGCGCAGCTGGTGGCGGATGGGAGGGCAGAGGCAGTCAGGGCGGACGTGGGCGCATGGAGCGAGGTCGAGCGGTCTCTGGAGCGCGCCGCTGGCCGTGTGAACGGCGTCTCGTTCACGGCTGTCGCTGTGAGCAGGTCGAGCGGTTGCCGGACGCGCAGCTGGTTGTGCACTGCGCCGGCGTCATCGACGACCAGCTCATGCAGCACGTGTCCGAGCCGGGGCTTGCCGCGCTGCTCCGCCCTAAGCTCGCGGGCGTGCGGAACCTGCGACGCCGGCACAGCCGCAGCGCGGGCCGTGTGAACCTTCCCGGAAGCCTCCCCCAAGAACCTTCTCGGAAGTGTCGCGTAGGTTCGCGGTAGGGTCGCGCTTGGTTGCCTTCTCCTCGTCCTCGGCCGTGATCGGCCCCGTGGGGCAGGCGATTTGCATGCCGAGATGCGCCGAGATTCGCCGAGACGCGCCGAGATGCGCCGAGATGCGCCGAGATGCGCCGAGATGCGCCGACCCTTCCCGCACTCTCCCCGCACCCTCCCCACACCCTTCCCGCACCCTTCCCGCACCCTCTTCGCCCCTGGCCAGGCCACCTACGCCGCGGCCAACGCAGCGCTCGACGAAATACTGCGCGGCGACGCGATCCGCTGGGGGGGCTGGGCGGGTGCAGGCATGGCCGCAGACCACGCCATTGACCCGGTGGCGGGCGAGGCCTTTTGCTCGGTCGAGGCGAAGCGGCGGGCCGCCCCTCCGGCTGTGAGCAGCGTCTTTTGACACGCCTCGCTGTGAACAGGTCGAGGCAGGGCTGCGCCAGCTGGGCTTGATCCTCGACGCTCCTCCGCCCTCCCCTCAGCTCGTTCTCGACGTGCCTTCATGAAGCCGACGCTACGCCCTCCAGCTGTGAACAGCGTCACTTCACGCGTCCGCCGGTGAGCAGGTGCCGTCGTGGGCCGACTATGCGGCGCACGCGACGCTATTCGCGAAGGAAGACGCGCACCTCCTCTCCTCGCTCACCGCCTCGCCGCCGCCGCCTCTGCCGCCGCCGCCGCCGCTGCCGGCGTCGGCCCTCCACCCCGTCGCCGGCGCCCACACCGCCCTCTCCCACTCCCTCCACCTCTTCCGCCTCGAGCTGGGCCCCGGCGCCGCGTCGCCGCCCGCGTGGCGGCTGCTGCAGCAGCACGTGGCGGCCGGCCAGCCCCTCATGCCCGCCTCCGCCTACCTCGCGTGGGCTGTCGAGGGCATTCTCGCCGCAGAGGCTACGCGCAGCGGCGGCAACGGAGGCGGAGGCGGAGGCGGCGGAGGCGGAGGAGGAGGCGGCGGAGGAGGAGGCGTCGGAGGAGGCGGCGGAGGCGGAGGAGGCTGCGGCGGAGGCGGCGGAAGCGGCCGCGGCGTCGAGTTGCGCGACTGTCGCTTCGAGAGGCCGCTCGATTTGGGCGACCGCCGCGCGTGCTTGCTGTCGGTCAGCTTCGGGACAGCGTCGCAGGGCACAGCCGAGGTGAGCCGCACCCTTGCAGCGGGCGTGTGGCGTGTGCGCGGGCGGCGGTCTCTTCACGGCGGCGGTGTGAACAGGTGAGCTGCGGCGGAGCGACGCACGCGAGCATGGCCTTCCGCGTGGGCGTCAAGCCCCCGTTGCCCGCTCCCCCGGGCGGAATCTCTCCACCGTTCGGAGCCTTTGTGCCCTTTGGCCCGACGGCGGGGGTGCC